TTTCCCTAGTTTCCAGCCCTCCACGCATGCACTGTGCGCTCTGATGCGGGTGGCTGGGGCTGGGTGTTTAGCAGTCCTGGGCTACCTCTCCCTCCTGCTGGGAGGTAGGGGGAGGTGTGCTCGGGTCCCACCGGGCCGGGGCTTGTATCTTACCCCTTTCACCAGGCGCTGGGTTCTCGTGGGTGTAGATGTAGTCTGGCTGTTGTCCTGTGTTTTCTGGTCTCTCTTTTAGGATTAGTTGTATTTTTGTATTTTCAAAACTATATATGTTTTTGGGAGGAGATTCCCACTGTCCTACTCACTCCACCATGTTGGCTCCGCCCCCTCCCAATAACTCTTAATACCTAGTTTGTCCTGTTATTTTCTCTGTTATATTATTGTTTGACAGAGTTTAACTGGGAATGACTTTTTCATATCAGTAAATAAATATTAAAAGGAAACCACTCTTTATTATAATTATGTCACAATTACCCTTTAGAAGGACATTTAGCTATCACTGCAATGCAGCTTCAAAAGCCTACTGAACTGCATTACCAAAAACAAAGTCAATGATTACCTTTCCTGGTCAGAAAGGAATTTAATACTATAACTGCACAGTAAAATTATTACATAGAAAAATCATAATTTATTAGTTTAGATTTCAAATTTCAAATAAATGTAATTTCTTAGTTTCATGTGATAACACTCAGTGAAATATAAATGCACCTCAACACAGTATTATATCAATTAGATATGAACCTAATAGCTGATACTTTTTTTAGAATACTCCAATGAATTAAAGACAACAGTTTACATGCCTAATAATATGGTTCACATACCAAAAGAATCATCCTTCTTATCAAGACGAAGGTGAGCTCTAACCTGCCCTGGTTCACAACCATCACAGGTATCACTGCCAGGGTGAATGTGAAAGGACAGCACAGTCTCTCCAATTTTTACTTCATCTCCATGCTCAAGTACATAAGGATCACATTTAGTTTTAGGCTACAGGGGAAAAATTATAAAACAGAAATCTTAGAGTTACATATGGCTATTTTATCTCTACTATCATGTATGATTTCAACAAAAAATATTTGAGATGGTTCTTAATGAGATAGACACACATTTGACACACCCATGCACAGATTGCCACAACTTGAGAATGATCTGTAAGTTCTACTAGTGGAGAAGTAAATAGCTGAACTGAGCAACTTCTAATTTTTATGTTATCAAAATCCACTAATCTCCCTATGTCCATGCCCAATCCTACCAAAGAAATATCCATCTGAAATTCAATCTATTACCAAAATGAGTTATCATCACATTCAAAAAGATGAAGTGTTAAGGGGATAAGTGCATAATTTCCATTTCTCCCTCTTCTTTTCTCTTTTCTCTCTGAAGTAAAATTAATTCAGTTTTATTTCATTTTTGATTCTTACAGACTAAGAATAAGGCCTCTCTCTCTCTCTCTGTTCAATACATTCATTATGTGCCATGCACTTTGCTACAAGTTGGGGATAGAAGAGTTAACCGGATAGCCATAGCCCCTGCCTTGCAGGAGTTTCCAGTCTAACAACATTTCCATTAAAACAATTTTTTTTCATTAAAACAATTTTTTTTAAAAACACACAAAAAAGAAGGGCCCCTGAAATTGCTATAGTTACATGTATTGTAAATAACTTTAATATGCATTTATCTCTAAAAATAAGGCACAGATAATTAGAAGTTAAAACTCAACAGTCAAGCATCCACTTACACACTTTTTCAGCCCTTTCTGGGAATTCCCTTCCACATTAAACATTTGGGTTTGAATACTAATCTGAAGTAAATGATATATAGTAACTAGAACCTTCAAGAATAAAAAATTTTAAGTCAATTTTTAAATTATGCAAGTAATTAATTAATACATACACACTCACCTGAAGAATCTGTTTTCCATTAACAATTGTACCATTTTGACTGCCTTGATCCACTAGGACATAACTTTGTAAGTCATGGTCAAAATAAATTTCTGCATGAAACTTAAAAAAAAGCCAGGTAATTACAAAGTAATATATATAAATATATATATCTAACCATGATAACATCTGGATGTGATGGACTTTATGAAAATTTAACTTTTATTATTTTTAATACTTTTTTCTGAATATAAAAGTATTATAATGCTTCTGATAGAAATGTGGAAGCTACAGAAGAAAAAGTCACCTATAATTCCATCTATAATTACCATTAATAACTCAGTGTGTGTCCTACCTTTTCAACTATTATAATATAGTTGCAATAACACTATATATATAATCTGAAATCATTTTTTCACCCAATGTAAGTGTATCATTAAAAATTCTTAATACAAAAGTTGATTTGAAACATTCAAGGTCAACTTCTCAGTTATCCAGATTTTCAGTATTCAGGACTCATCACTCCCTCCCCCTCCTTGCTCTGCAGCCCTTTGTGTATGAAACACATTATGTGAAATTCTGCATAAGTGAATGTCACTGTATTGCTTATGGTTACTACTTATATTAGTTGAGATTTTTGTTCACCATTCAATGCATAAAACAGTGCTTCACATATATTAGGCATGTACTCAATACATATCTATTTAATTGGATAAAGATGT